TATTGGTCTGAAATTCTTTCTGATGGGGTCTTTGCCTGGTTTGGGGTATAAGGTGATGCTGGCATCATAGACTGAGTCTGGAAGATTTCCTTCTGTTTCTATTTTTTGAAACAGCTTCAGGAGAATAGGTATTATTTCTTCTTTGAATGTTTGGTAGAATTCCCCAGGGAATCCATCAGGCCCTGGACTCTTGTTTTTTGGGAGGTTTTTGATCATTGCTTCAATCTCGTTACTGGTTATTGGCCTATTTAGGTTGTCAATTTCTTCCTGTTTCAGTCTTGGGAGTTTATAGGTTTCCAGGAAGACATCCATTTCTTCCAGGTTGCTTTATTTATTGGCATATGGTTGTTGATAATAATTTATAATAATTGTTTCTATTTCCTTGGTGTTAGTCATGATCTCTCCCCTTTCATTCATAATTTTATTAATTTGGGTCCTTTCTCTTTTCCTTTGGGTAAGTCTGGCTAGTGGTTTATCGATCTTATCAATTCTTTCAAAGAGCCAGCTTCTAGTTTCGTATTATTATCAATATGACTCTTTATTTTGATTAACAGTTGGCTTATGTAGTTGGCTGCTCCCATGTTGGGGGCATAGATATTTACAATTGTTAGATCTTCTTGTTGGATAGACACTTTAAGAATCATATAGTGTCCTTCTGTGTCTCTAACTACAGTCTTTAGCTTAAAATCTAATTTGTCTGATATAAGAATTGCTACCCCAGCTTTCTTTTGAGGTCTGTTGGCGTGGAAGATGGATCTCCATCCCTTAACTTTCAGTCTGGATATATCTTTAGGTTCAAAATGAGTCTCTTCTAGACAGCATATGGATGGGTCCTGTCTTTTTATCCAATCTGCAATCCTGTGCCATTTTATGGGAGCATTTAGGCCAGTCATGTTGAGAGTGATTATTGAAAGATATGAATTTATTGTCATCATGTTGCCTGTGAAGTCCTTGTTTCTATAGATTGTCTCTGTAAATTTCTGTTCTATATCACTCTTGGGGTCTTTCTCCTTTTATAGAACCTCCCTTAATATTTCTTGCAGGACCGGCTTAGTGGTCACATATTCTTTCAGTTTCTGCTGGTCTTGGAAGCTCTGCATCTCTCCATCCATTCTAAATGACAGCCTTGCCGGATAAAGTATTCTTGGCTGCATGTTCTTCTCATTTAGTACCCTGCATATGTCTTGCCAGCCCCTTCTGGCTTACCAGGTCTCTGTGGATAGGTCTGACATTATTCTGATTTTCCTCCCTCTGTACATAAGGAATCTCTTCCCCCTAACTGCCCTTAAGATGGTTTCCTTCATTCTAAGATTTGCGAATTTTACTATTACATGTCGGGGTGTTGGCCTGTTTTCCTTGATCTTGGTAGGGGTCCTCTCTGCCTCTAGGACAGGAATGTTTGTTTCATTCCCCAGATTAGGGAAGTTTTCAGCTACAATTTGCTCAAATATATCTTCTAGTCCTCTCTCTCTCTCCATCCCTCAGGGATCCCAATAATTCTGACACTGGAACGTTTCAAGGTGTCACTTATTTCTCTAATTCTGTTTTCATGGATTTTGAGTTGTTTCTCTGGGGCCTCCTCTTTTTCCTTCTTTTCTGTCAATTGGTCTTCTAGATCACTAATTCATTCTTCTTCCTTGCTTACCCTAGCTGTTAGATTATCTAGATAAGATTGGATCTCATTGATAGCATTTTTAAGTTCTGCCAGTTCAGCTTTCATTTCTGCCCTTAGAGACTCTATGTTGCCATTAATCAATTTCTCCATTCTAGCTGTTGTCTTCATAACTGTTACCCTGAAATCCATTTCCGACATCTTGGTTATATCTGTATCCATTTGTAAATCTGTGGCAGAAGTCACAGTCTCTGAGTCTTTCCTATTTTGCAGGTTCCTCCTCCTAGTCATTCTGTTGAGGGAATGCACAGGGTCCAAATTATTGATCACAACCCAAGCAAGATGCACCTGTTTTATAGGGACCTTAGGGTTGTCAGCCTCTTGTTCTCCCAGCTTGTCTTCTGGGGGAGGGGCCTGCTGCACTGTTACTCAGGCAACCCTGTTTGGGCAGAGTTGCCCTTCCCCCTGTGGGGGGGGTGGGCTCAGTGAAAACCGGTTTTGGGGGGCTTTTGTTCTCTGGCGGCTTTTCCTGGTGGCTTTCCATGTCTCTTCAGGAGTCAGAGTAGAAGAGATCGTTTCCAGCCCTCTGCCTCAGAGCAGAGAGATCGCAGTCTATTCTTCAGTGAGCTCTCCAGGCCACACTATCTCTGTTTCTGTCTATGCTGCTATAAACTGCAGCATCCTAGGTTGTGCGCTCCTCAGCAGGGCTCCCAGTCCCCACCTCCAGGTCAGGGCACAGAGGCACATCTCTGCCCTTTGTGCTTCTAACACCACCAGCTGCCCCCAGTTCACACTCACGGCCCCACCGCTCCAGGTTTCAGTCTGGGGGGCTGCCCTAAAGTCCTTTCCCTGCTGCTACCAGTCTGTGAGTCTGTGCCCCATCCCCAGCATGGGAGGCTATCGCTCACTGGCGGTGCAGGATTCTCATGGCTCCCTCCCCCTTCCATTTATCTTGATATCTGCCGCAGAATCACGGCTCCCCGCTTCATACCTTGAAACCAACCGTGTGCAATATCCTGTTTGTAGAGATCCAGATCTATCTTCTTACATCTCAGGCTGATTTCATGGGTGTTCAGAGTGGTCTGGTAGCTATCCAGCTCAATTCAGGGGACCAGTTGGAATAGGGTCCCCTAGTCCTCTGCCATCTTTTCCTCCTCAATTCTACAATTAGTATTTCTGTACATTTGTTTATAAAGTAAGATTTTATTAGAATTCTATCAGTTAATGACACGAATAAGGCTTTTTCTGTGCAATTATTGCATACATCTGTGGATGAATGTTACTTTTTGCATAAATTCTATTCCAGTGTTTTATTTATCTAAACACTGAGAAACTTTGCGTATATGTGTGGGTGAGTGTTACAACAATAAGATTTTTATAGCAGTCACTCAATGATTTGAACTTCCAAATTACGTGCCAAAATCAGACTGTGAAGTCTCATCTGAAGTTATTTTTTATAACATTTCAACAAACTGGATGTTGTCTTCCAGTTATGCTGGAAGTAAAAATTTTAGAAACTGCTTGACTTTCAAAAGTATTTCTTACTCATTCAGGTTATTTGCTTTCTCATTTTTAAGAGGTACACCTCTTAGAAACTTTACCAAGATTTACAGAGTAATTATAAAATACATCTGCAAATTTTTTCCACTAAGAAGTACTTTATATAATATGGTATATTATGACAGGATTGGAAGCATTGAAATATCACTTACAATATACTGTTACCATATAATTTTTTGAAAAATGCTTTTATTCTATTACAATCTTTTAGTTTGTATTCATTTCATGGAAAACACCCATCATTTAACCTACTTGAAAGAGTTAGTCTTTATTGTGAAACCAATATTTTTTTTTAAATTTTTCAATTAAAATAAACATGTTACTATATATTTCAAGGAGTATTATAAATACACTGAAAAATAAATTCCAGAATGCTACTTCAAAAGCTATTTTACTAGAAGCAGCCCTTTTGATTTAAAGTGTTCTATGTTTAATGTAATGAATCTGCACTTTAAGTTAGAAAAAAAATTTTTAAATCTACATGTTGCTTCTAACTAATTTAAAATAATGCAATATAATCTGTGTCAGTGATCATGAAGTTACTTAGGTAAGAAGAATATGATAAAAAGAAAGGTTTTCCTTTGGTAAATGTGCATGCTCATGCATGTTAAACTCCAGTAATTGGAATTAGAGTGTAATTAAATAAAAATAATGCATATAATAGAACTAACTTTATTGATGTAATAGAAATATACTGTTGAAAATCATTCTAGTAGCTAGTTTACATTGTATTTTTTGTTAATAAAAGGTAGGGAATACTAAATATTTTATAAGATGATGTAAGATGATCAACTACAATTAGAATAAGTATTTTATAATGTGGCATAATTTAATAGATATTGAATAATGGAACTGAATAATGCTCAATACACCTAGGAAATATTATGTAAGATATTGATCTGTGGGTTTAAGCCAGTACCACTAAAAAATGTTTGGTATTCCCAAACAACATGTAGTTATATTTAAATTAATGTGTCACTAAACTGTACTGTTTTGCTGTTCGAAGTCATTTTCTTTCCATTTAAATAAAAATCCTAAGTATGATTATTGAGACTATACCTTGCTTTTCTCTCTCTGGACTATCTCTCAAGAGCATTACATTCTTTCACAGAATGAACAGAAAATTCCTATTTCCGTAGCTCACTTTACGCAATATATTCAGTTTCTGAACAACCCAACATTTCTAACACCACGGTTATTGCTTAAGAGAAAGAAAAAGGCAAAAACAAAACAAAACAAAAATCAGAGAGCCTTAACGTGGCTTTATGGTGGCTTGTTTCATTGTTTCTTTCTTGGAAACTGTGGAAAGTTTGAAATCTCGGGGTAATGCTCTGTAGTAAGGTGCTGGAGAAGGGAGCCGTCTTGTTTTTTGTTTGTTTGTTTATTTGTTTGTTTGTTTTTTTTTGATGTAGTGTTCCATGATTCGTTGTTTGCGTACAACACCCAGTGCTCCATTCAGTACGTGCCCTCTTTAATACCCATCACCGGGCTAACCCATCCCCCCACCCCCTCCCCTCTAGAACCCTCAGTTTGTTTTTCAGAGCCCATCGTCTCTCATGGTTCGTCTTGCCCTCTGATTCCCCCCCTTCATTTTACCCTTCCTACTATCTTCTTTTTTTTACGTATAATGTATTATTTGTTCAGGAGCCGTCTTTTTTAGAGTAAGAAAGAGACTGTGGAAAGAGAGGCAAGTAAAGGAACCTACATGATACTATGAAGAGTATTCATGGGTTTGAAGATGTGAAAATTTAGCCCTTTCCTTTTTTATTTGTTAGGTGGCTACCTAAGATAAATAATAATAATAACAACATCTTTTTTTTTTTTGCAGCTGTCGTGAGTGCCATCCCTGTGCCAACCCTGGAAAGTGCCCAGTACCCAGGAATCCTTCCATCTCCCACATGTGGATACCCCCACCCACAGTTTACCCTCCGGCCCGTGCCATTCCCCACACTGTCAGTGGACCGAGGTTTCGGAGCAGGAAAAAGTCAGTGTAATGCATTTTCCTTTCTTTTTACTAAGAACAAATGAATAATAACCAAGGATGTCTTTTTAAATGTATAGCATTTTAATGTTCTCATCCCTTGGGAAAATTGGTTTACTTCTGCCCTGGGTCAGAATCAAAGGACCAGTCCTCTGGGAGTCTTTCCATAGACAATGTGGGAAGCTGTGGGGAAACAAAGATTAACTGGTTCAATAAAACAATGATGTGATGGGTGCTTGAACTTAATATGTTGTCAACTAGGAAATGAATAATCAAGTGACTGTCCTCCAACATATTCTTGTGTAAGTGTCTGTTGGTTATATTTAAAAGTGTCTTATTGATTCCTGATAAACCAATACTTAAATGAATGCCTTAGCTTTCTTTAATTAAATCAATTAAGCAATATCTTTTTTGTGTGTGTGTTTACATTAAGCTATGTTTCTATTTTTTTTTATTTTTTTATTGCTATGTTAATCACCATACATTACATCATTAGTTTTTGATGTAGTGATCCATGATTCTTTGTTTGTACATAACACCCAGTGCTCCACGCAGAATGTGCCCTCTTTAATACCCATCACCAGGCTAACCCATCCCCCCACCTTCCTCCCCTCTAGAACCCTCAGTTTGTTTTTCAGAATCCATTGTCTCTAATGGTTTGTCTCCCCCTCCGACTTACTCCCCTTCATTCTTCCCCTCCTGCTATCTTCTTTTTCTTTTTTCTTAACATATGTTGCATTATTTGTTTCAGAAGTACAGATCTGTGATTCAACAGTCTTGCACAATTCACAGCGCTCACCGTAGCACATACCCTACCCACTGTCTATCACCCAGCCACCCCATCCCTCCTACCCCCCACCACTCCGGCAACCCTCAGTTTGTTTCCTGAGATTAAGAATTCCTCATATCAGTGAGGTCATAGGATACATGTCTTTCTCTGACTGACTTATTTCACTCAGCATAACACTCTCCAGTTCTATCCACGTCGTTGCAAATGGCAAGATCTCATTCCTTTTGATGGCTGCATAATATTCCATTGTGTATATTATACCACATCTTCTTTATCCATTCATCTGTCGATGGACATCTTGGCTCTTTCCACAGTTTGGCTATTGTGGACATTGCTGCTATAAACATTGAGGTGCACTTACCCCTTCGGATCCCTACATTTGTATCTTTGCGGTAAATACCCAGTAGTGCAATTGCTGGATCGTATGGTAGCTCTATTTTCAACTGTTTGAGGAAACTCCATACTGTTTTCCAGAGTGGTTGCACCAGTAAAGCAATATCTTTTGATTTTTAATTAATAATTGTTGGAGAAAAAGATTACCAAAGGAGTATTTCATTTGTTTTCATATTATTACTTTTCTGATTTTAATGAGATATAGGTGACATATAACATTGTGTAAACTTAAGGTTTACAATGTGTTGATTTAATACACTTATGTATGACAAAATGATTACTACCATAAAATTGGTTAATACCCCTCTCATGTCACATAATTGCCATTTCTTTTTTGTTATGAGAATGTTTTAAATCTACTTTCTTAACAACTTTCAAGTATATAATACAGTATTATTAGCTATAATCACTGTATTGTTCATTAGATGCCCAGAACTTAATCATCTTATAACTAGACGTGTGTACTCTTTGACCAACATCTCTCTTTTTTCCCTATCCCCCAGATCCTGGTAACCACAATTCTATTCTCTATTTTTATGAGTTTGTCTTTTTTAGGTTCTACATATAAGGGATATCACATAGTATCTTCTTTCTGTTCCTGACTTATTTCACTTAGCATAATGCCCTCAAGGTCCATCCATTTGTTTCAATTTCTTTCTCATAGCTGAATAATATTCCATTTTGTATATATACCACATCTTCTTTATCCATACATCCATTGATGGATGCTTAGGGTGTTTCCATATCTTGGCTATTGTGAATAATGCTGCAATGAGCATGGGAGTGTGTATATGTCTGTAAGATCTCATTTTCATTTCCTTTGGATATATACCCAGAAGTGAGATTGCTGGATTATATAGTAGTTCTATTTTTAATTTTTTTAGGAACCTTCATACTCTTTTCCATAGTAGCTGCACCAATTTACATTTTCAGCAACAGTGCACTCTTTTGTCCATATACTTGCCAACATTTCTCTTGTCTTTTTGATGATAGCCATTCTAACAGGTATGAAGTGATACCCCATTGTGATTTTGATTTGCATTTCCCTGATAATTGGTAAGGTCCAATACCTTTTCCACCATATTTGCTGACCATTTATATGTCTTCTTTGGAAAAATGTATATTCAGTTCTTCTGCACATTTTTAATCCAACATTTTTTGCTACTGTATTGTGTGAATGTGTTACATATTTTGGATATGAACTGCTTATCAGATATGTGGTTGGCAAATATTTCCTCCCATTCTGTAAACTGCTTTTCATTTTGTTGATGGTTTTCTTTTAGCTGTACAGAAGTTTTTAATTTGATGTAATCCCATGTGTTTATTTTTGCTTTTGTTGCCTTTGCTTTTTCGTGTCAAATCTAAAAAGTCATTATCAAAACCAATGTCAAGGAGATTACCCCCTATGTTTTCTTCTAGGAGTTTTACAGTTTCGGGTCTTAAGTTCAAGTCTTCAATCCATTTGAGTTCATTTTTGTGTACAGCAGAAGAAATCCAATTTCATTCTTTTTCAAGAGGCAATTCAATCTTCTCAATGCCATTTATTAAAGAGACTGTCCCTCACCCCCCAGTATATTCTTGGCTCTTTGGCATAAATTAATTGACCACGTATACAGGGGTTTATTTCCAGACTCTCCATTCTGTTCCATTGGTCTGTGTGCCTGTTTTTATGCTCATACCATACTGTTTGACTATTACAGCTTTGCAGTATAGTTTGAAATCAGGAAGTGTGATGCCTCCAGCTTGCTCTTCTTTCTCAATATTGGTTTGACTATTTGGGGTCTTTTCTGGTTCCATACAAATTGTGAGATGGTTTGTTCTATTTCTGTGAAAAATGCCATTGGATTTTTTGATAGAGATTGCATTGACTCTGCAGATCACTTTGGGTAGTATGGAAATTTTAACAATATTAATTCTTTCAAACCATGAGCATGGAATATCTTTCCTTTTATTTATGTCTTCTTCAGTTTCTTTCATCAACGTCTTATAATTTTCAGTGTAAAGATCTTTTACCTCCTTGGTTAAATTTATTCCTAAGTGTTTTATTCTTTTTGACACAGTTGTAAATGGGATTGTTTTTCTTAATTTCTCTTTCTGATAGCTATTAGTAACATATATAAGTGTAACTGATTTTTGTGTATCGATTTTATATCCTGAAAGTAGTATTTCATTTGTTTTAAGGGAAGTAGATATGGAGAGAGACTCTCAATCTATTATATACACCCTGGTGGTTTCTCCTATGCCATTTGATTTTTTTTTTCTTCTTCAAGCACAGCATTTTAAAATCAATTTTATGGCTTTCTTCTCTTCGTTAGGAACAGGTGACTCAGCAGCTCATGTGAGATAAGATGTTTTGAAATAGATAAGATGGTAACAGCAATAAAATATATTTGTGAGGTAAGCTATATTTTTTCCAACCCAACAGGGACAGCTCTAAGAAATCATAAATCGTTTAGATGTAGGAAGGTTAGAATTAAAAGGCATCAAAAATCTGCCAAGAGAGAATTAGATTTATTTTCCCTTTTCTCACTGCACATCATGTCTACAGAATAGAGTTGTGTGCAGAAATTCAAGAAAAAATAGTTCCCCAAACCATATTGAAGAGCATTAAATGAGAAAGATATGGGAAGTCCAAAAACCAAAAATTTCCAAATCCCAGGACAACTAGGAAGGTGATTCCAGTCAAAGAATTCAGAATCCACAAGTCCCTTCTTCAGCTTCTGAAATGAACTCTCCCGAGCAGAAAAAAGAGGATTATAGTTTTTGCTTAGTTTTTCCCTCATCACATCACTGTCTACTATTTTCTTTTGATTTCATCTATATTCTCAGACTTTAAAAGTGTGAGAAGAATGTGTAGCATGACCTTTATCTCTTCACTACACAAGACCAAGTCAAGCCAAATTTCAGTACGCTTTATTAAGGAAATTAATTATTTTATTTTTAAAAGATTTTATTTATTTATTTGACAGAGAGAGACATAGCGAGAGAGGGAACACAAGCAGAGGGACTGGTAGAGGGAGAGGCTTCCCACAGAGCAGGGAGCCCAATGTGGGGCTCGATTCCAGGACCCTGGGATTATGACCCGAGCTGAAGGCAGATGCTTAATGACTGAGCCACCCAGGCGCCCCTTAACTATTTTATTTTATTCATGGTATATTCCTGTCATTTCTTTTTCTCCTTTAAAGATATAGTCTCCTTCTGAGAACTCAGCATCCCATTTACTCTTTTCTTTTTCTCTTGATTTGGTGCAACATGCAAAACTGTCCCATTGAATCATAGGCATAGTCATTCCAGAAGTTAAATTTCAACGGAAAAGAAAATAATAAATGAGCTAGCATGATTTTTTTTTTCTTTCCCCCTTGGCCAAAATCAGTTACATGGAGAAGCTCAGTACCAATGGGATAGGGAAGTATATACTCCACCCAACATGAACTAAGGAATTCACAGGGGAAAGGTGAGTTGTGAACAAATAATACAGTTTATCACAGATTACCATTCACCATCAGGACTTTGTGTGAGTCACCATTTCACATCTCAGACTCTATGCAGATTCTTCTACCGTGGATGTATTTGTTTCTTAGGCTGCCATAATAAGGTACCATAAACTAGGTGGTTTAAAATGACAGAAATTTATTCTCTCATAGTTCTGGAGGCTAGAACTCCAAAATCAAGATGTTGTCAGGGTTATGTTCTCCCCAAAGTTTCTAGGGGTGGATCCATCTTTGCCTCTTCCAGCTTCTGGTAGTCCCAGGCATACCTTGGCTGTGGCAGGATAACTCCAGTATCTGCCTCCTTCAGATGGCCATCCTCCCTCTGCTTG